AAATAAATAAAATCTTAAAAAAAAAAAAAAAGGATAACTTAAGGCTGTATCTCTTTTGAAATGACCACCAAATGGCAAAATTGTAAAAACTTCGAGGCTACGAAGCCTCAAATTCCTAAATCCCTTTAAGAGAAAATTATATTTAATAAGATTTTATGGTGGATGTAAGTAACTTCTGGGATCTGACATCATTTAGTCATTTGGAAATAAAGACTACATTGCTTAAGAGCAACGTTGGAAAGACTCAAAAGGGATGTCATCCATTTAAAAGTACAGCAACATACTTTTTATGAAGCCTATACGATTTCAAAATGCAGCCTTTAAGAAGGAAAAAAAAAAAAAAAAGACCGGGGTTGGGGTGGGGGGAATCTTTTCTCCTTGATAGCTATATGCAACTATTAAAAAAAAAAGTCATTATTCCCTCTTCTCTGACAACAAATACAGCCTAGAACAGTGCTTACTTTTTAACTGTGATTTCCAAAAAAACTTCTGAGTCCTAGAACTCAAAGTAAATTTATTACCACTCAAGTAAGAAATGACAGAACCTTAGCAAGAAAATTGAGATGGAGGCTGTCAGAACTGCTGCAGTAGGCAAGGATCTATAAAGGACATCAGCTTCAAAAGTGCAAATACAGTGGAGGGAAAGCAGCAATAATGGGCTTTTTGAAACACAGTAAGCCATCTGAAAAAATTCCTTCCTGAGCAAGATGTTGCTCCAAGGAAAAGGACAGTATATCATGTTGGGAGTCTTCAGTTTCAGTCCACACATTACCTGCTGTGTTAAAAATAAATTAAATATTAAAAAACAGACTATGGTTTTCTAGTTAGAATCAAACCAAACACTCAAATCGTTTTCTTTTGTTCTTCTCTGACATCTGACCTAGGTATCCTTTTGACCAAAGTCTGGAAAGAATCAACAGATGTGGAAAAGCAAACCCCAAATACTGTTCTTGTTAAAAATACAGCTTGCGGGCGCCTGGGTGGCTCAGTTGGTTAAGCGACTGCCTTCGGCTCAGGTCATGACCCTGGAGTCCCGGGATCGAGTCCCGCATCAGACTCCCTGCTCAGCGGGGAGTCTGCTTCTCCCTCTGATCCTCCCCCTCTCATGCTCTCTGTCTCCCATTCTCTCTCTCAGATAAATAAAAAAAAAAATCTTAAAAAAAAAAAAATACAGCTTGCAATTCAATTTGTGTCTCTATCCCACTTATGGAGCCCAATAAGTAAGCTTAGAGTATAAGTAGGAAACAGGATAATCTGAATCAATGCACCATTTAGAAAGTGCACAGGATATAGGCCTTCCACAATAAATGGCCCTATAAATG